TCTTGAGCCGAGGGTCTTTCGGAAACAGTCTCTCTACTCCTTCGAGGTAGGGGTAAGGTTTGCGTACACACTACCCTCCCCAGACCCCATTAGTGGAATTTTACTGGGTTGTTGTTGTTGTTGTTGATGATGATGGCATCTTGGAATTATGAGAGTTTTGATGTTGGTAATTCTACTTTTGATCCTCCTTATGCATATTATAGAAGAAGCCACCCATTGCAAAATTATTAAAATATTTCCAAAAGCGAGTTATGTGCACTAACTCAATCTTATGTGTGGAATGTGTGTGATATGTGTGGTGGTCAAGATGGTCACTTTCATGGTTGTGCTTATACTTCTTATCTTCCCCCAACCCCTTACTTTAATGGTTCTTCTTTTTCTTGTGAAGTTAATAGGAACAAAGAACCCAGGGATGATGACTTGAAAGAGATCAAGAATATGCTAAGATGCCTTGTAGAACAAAATAATAAGAAACAACTGCACATACAAAGGCAAGATGCTACTATTCGCAACCTGGAGGCACAAATGAGTCAACTAGTTGAAGCATTTAATGCTCAACATGTTAATACTATGAATAGTACGCAGGAGCAATGTGCATTAGAGACAGAAATTGAGGTACCACTAGAGGAGTCCATAGTAGAACACCAATAATCAATCAAACGAGAATTTAAGGATGTCGATGTTGTAGAAGAGATACTAGAGTCAAAGGACATTGAGGATACATATTTAGTTGACTCTAGTGTCATTGGTGTTGAGGATATTGACAATCCCAAGGTTCATGTAGTTGAGCACATTGGTCTACACTACAAGTATTTTTCCACATTGTGTTTGGATGATGATATGGAAATAGAGTTATCCGGACCAATTGAAGAGTCAAGAAATGAGGAACAAGGTACATATATTCTGGAATTCTTCTTGCTAGAAAGTCAGGATTACATACCTCATACAAAGGCCAAGGAGTGCAGAATACTACATTATTTCCTTGGGCCAGTTAGATTCGTTCCACCGCCCCGGGAGCATAATCATAAGCTTGAATCAAAACTTGGGGTTCAATTCATAAGCTCGAGGTGGAGGCAAAAAGTAGTTCATGTCGTACCGCGACGTTAAATCAAGTGCTTGTTGGGAGGCAACCTAACTTTACTTCTTCTTTTTTTATTATTATTATTATTGTATTATTCTTGTAGTGTCGATTTTTGATTTTTTTTAGGAGCATGGAAAGCAAAGCCATTGGAAGGATGCAACAACAAAACCAGATGGTTGGAACTAAGTATGAGGTACCCGCACGAAGGACCAGGCCTGAGAGAAGTCTGAGTACCCCATGAGATGCTAGTGCTTCGGCCTTTGGCCTACCAGGGAGTTTTACCCTCTTGTATATATGGGTGTGCATTGGAGACAATGCACAATTTTAAGTGTGGGGTGAGGAGATTGTCTGGGTGTCTTTCAATTCTATTTTAGTTGTGTTAGTTTAATTGAATAATTTTTTTTTTTTTACAAAAATAGAAAATATTGGACTTTTCCCGACGATGGATCTATAAGATATTTTTCTTGAGGGATTTAAGTCGAAAGGAAAAAGACAAAAAGACTTTTTTTGTAGGTAGTGTAGTAATTCCCCCTTGGTTTTTCTTTGTGCCGCGGTTCTTTTTCAAGGGTTTTGTTTGAACCGGGTGTAGCTAGTTTTATTTTTTTAGGAATAGGAGATATTGTGTTGTGTTTTGAATAGAAGCAATATCTCTTGCCTTTGTTATGCCTTGAGAATAGTGAGTACTTTGGTTGTGACGCTTAGCCTCAGTTCCTGACTCTTGTATAAGTATCTTAAATTGTATGATTTTAAATTTGCTTAACCGCTTTGACTAGAGTGTCTTGATGAATCCAATCCTGAGTGAGTTATGTGCCATGTGTGTGTGAGGTTTGGGTGTTATTCTGTGCATTATATTTGATGCCTAGAATTTGCCCTGTGTGTTTGCAAAGCGAAATAGTAGTTTTGTTCAGTCTTGGAAGTGATATAGACGTTTCTTTGTTGGGCCATATATATATTTTATTCGCCTAATTGTTATGTATCGTAGTTAACCCATTTGAGCTTGTAATCATGTTTCTTTGGCAACCACATTACAAGCCTTATCCATTTGTTTGAATTAACCATCTATTTGAACCTTCTAACCTCTCATGAGCACTTGAATTATTATGAACTGTGTAAAAGTTAAAGTGTGGGGTGGATGATTTGGCTTTTGAGTGGAACTAATAAAATAAGGAGAAAGGTGCACTGTTTTGAAAAAGTAAGAGCCACTTGAATTGAAAAAGAAAGAAAAGGAAAAAAAATAGTTGTATTGCTGTAAAAAAAAAATATTCCTTGATAAGTGGTGACTCTTGATGTAATTGTGCTTAAAAAAGTATGGGGTAATATACATTGATGTGAAGGTGGAGTTTGGTTTGACATAAGTATGAGGTTTGAATGTTAAAGTATATGTATTAAAGTGCTTAGGGAGGTGTAGTCACTCTTATATCTAAATGTATCATACCCGTCCCGCAGCCTACATTACAACCAAATAAAGTCCTACTTGATCCTAAACTGAATGAGCTCGATTAGTAGAGTAGTACACTACGGGCAAGCCTATGGTGCATCTTTTGTGGCATATGAATGTTATTTTTGAGAGTGAGTGAATTCTTTCTATCTTGAGTTCCTAAGTATTCTTAAATTTTATTGTGTGGAACTACTCTCTTTTGTTGTGTGAGGACACTTGATTCATGAAGGAAAGGTAATGTCAATGACCTCTATATTAGAGTAAGTGGGTGAGTTGTGAATAATGCGTGGTACTTGTAAGTCAAATCTTGAGGTAAAGATGTTACGCTTTTGTGCTTTGTCTATTTTAAGTATTCTTGGTATGATGAATTAGGAAAATTATTTAAAAAGGTCGTGTCTATATAAAGTGTAGTTTGATTGCTTGAGGACGAGCAATGGTTTAAGTGTGGGGTGTTGATGATAGGCTATAATTACGTATTTTAGTCGCTTATTACACTCTAATTTACTGCACTTTAATTGAGTTAGAGCTTTAATCGCTAGTGTTTTGCACTAATTGTGTGTTTTATGCCTTGTAGGAGAAAAAATCATAGGAGAAAAAATACTTACTCGCACCTTAATAACCTCGATCAGAAGTTTGAGAATTATCAGTAGTATCTGTCATGTTTAGAGTTCTAAATCAATCTAAGAACAATCTAGGAACAATCAGTAGTATCTGCTAATTAAGCCCGACTCTGAATTTCGAGAAATTGATCCTAATGCTTGAAAGGTATAGGAAGCGAGTCCAAAAGAAGATGGCAAAAATTCCTAGAAGATTGCTGCGATTTCGTGAGAACCCTACCAATTTTATGAATGCGAGACGACGGCATCAGTTGTTTGGGTCTGAGAAAAGGGGAAGTTTTGTAGGGTGTTTGAGATAAAATAGTAGATGCCCCTTAATAATTATAAATTTAAGCAAATTTCCTTCATTAGTTATAAATGTCAGTAAATACCGACTAATATAGCTACATTTCAATTAAAAGTCGCAATAATTTGCCATTTCTTACCAAATAAGTCATTGATTTTACGACATTTGTAAATAAATGTCATAAAATTAGCCTTTTTTCGTCGTAGCCCTCTTTTCCTGTAGTACATTTCATTACCTGTGTTCAATAAGTAAACAATCTCAATAAGGTGAACTTTGTGTTGAGCGAAAGTTACAATCACTGCACAGAAACCCTGAAGAGCCAGAAAGTAGAGACTGCTGGTAAGCATGTTGGTTGCAGTATGCCTTGTTACAGAAACTACATTTTGGGAGCTGAAGCCAACAATCCAAGCACAGTATATCTGCACAAGCTGCTTCACCTACTTCTTCATCTTTGGTGCATACACCACACTCTTCACATCTTGGGATACAGAGGAAGCAGCCCCTGCACTCTACTAGCTGTTGCTGTTTTCTCCTTTCACAAGAATTTTTAGGGCAGTCAAAGATTTCTCTTATTTCACCACATTTCAGACAGACATCTATGTCGATTGAAGGCTGAGATTCTTGTCTAAGCGTGGATGGTTTGCTTCGCTTCTGATAGAAGTTCTTTCCGTCTTTCTTTTGAATCTGGTTTATTCCCATTAGATGACAAAGTGTTTCAAAGTCCTCTCTCTTCACATTATAGATGCCAGAAATACTTAAGCTCTTTAACCTGTGGTTAGCCTTGGTAAGAAACTTCACTGCTCCAAGTACTCCCTCAATGGTTAAGCCTGTGCACCCTGGTAAATAGAGCTGGAAAAAAGGTGGAAAAGAACATAGGATTCAGGGCAGATGTAATTACTAGGCTTTTGATTTTCTTTTTCCTCCTGTTCCAACATCTAGAGTCGACATCATAAAAATATGGATATATTTTCTAACTCGTTAAGTACGTACCATAAAAATTTGATAGGTACGATTTATAGAGATTAGGGCCTCTGGAATCACAAAAGAAGTAGCATTCCACTAAAGATGCAGGGGAATGGTTTATGTTGTACTAATGATTTAATAACTATCTCTGTAGCCCGATTTCCCTGTTTCTCTTAGTAGCACATGTTTTTCTCTTCGATTCAACTAGGGGGGAAAAAGAAGCATGTGTGCTCTTCAAGTGTTCGAATCATTAGAAAACGTCCCACGTGACTATATATAACATAAAAATTGTTACTGACTGGCTGAAGTTAAGTAAGGAACATGAATTCTATTGCAAAACTTTCCACTTTTTGGATCAAACCTGCCTAAGGGATTCAGGAATTCGGCACACTTGATTGGAGAACTATTAGAGTATATTTTTTCAATAAATTTTTAGTTCCTTTTCTCCTACTTATGCTATGTATAAAGCCTTTTTTTATTTATATTAAAACGAAATCACAATAAAGAAAAAAGGGAAGAAATTAATTAAAAAAGACTCCACCAACCACATCTTATCCATTTACCATTTCCTTATAAACAAACTAACATACCTTGCTGATATGAGGATTACTGGTAATGACTTGTAGAAGCCCATCATCTGTTATCTTAATGCAATTTATAAGAGCAACAACTCTCAGACGACTATTTGCCTTGGACGTAACTTTCATCAGAAAATCATCAGAAAGACGAGTGTTTAATGGCTTTTCGACAACGATATTCAGCCATGGCAGTATGTCATCTTTTAAAGCATCTCTTAATGACCTGCAAACTTGAGTCATAGACAGAAGTTCAAATAAAGGGAGATAGGGCAAGACCAAGAACATAGCTTCATGGGGTGGTTCCCCTGATTCTAAAGGAATTTTTATCATTGCTGTGCCTGTGTTGAGTTCTTCCCCCTCTGGTATAGGTTGTGAAATTTGCATGTCCATGGTATGTATGCTAAAAATAAGTGTTGGTTTTGAAGATGTTTAATTTCTAGGAATGAAGCTTTAAGTGAAAGGGCGATATATGGAGGAAGCAAGTTGTGTTGATATTTGCTAGAATGAGAAAAGAGAAATATTTTCACACGTTAACTTGGATATACTTGTCATCATGTATACCAATTGAAACTTGTATGTCGGCGACATGTCAATAACAATTTAAATGTCCTGCGTCTCATTAGAGATGTAATTGAGGGATATTTGATCAATTTATTTGTTTAAATTGTACACGTTAAGGGATGTTTGGTTGGATTCGTTTGAGGAATTATTTATGTCAAGATTATTGTACGGTGAATAATAATTAAGGATGACAATTCTAGCTAATACAAAAATATCTTATACAGAATTTAGTAAGGCCAAATAAACCCGGGATTAAGTAATGTTACGATTACTTTTTTTTTTCATGAAGGAATTCCTACTGTTAATGTGGTAAACCAACCGGCCCTTAATAGTATAAATGAATTTTCACACTATCTAACTGTTTTATAGCATCTTTCTATGTTATCAATTCACGTCTTTTAAATAGCCTGATAGCGTAAAATCCCTCACATGCTCCATGTATAAAAATTAAACTCGTAAATATTAAAGACAAGTTTAGGATTTTGGCGTGGTAAATACATCTGGACCTCTGGTACTAGAAAATATGACCCTTGTCCTGGTGTTGCTTCTTAATAGAAATAGGAAATACTCTTTTTGACCGCCTGTGCTAGTCCATATAAATCTTCACACGTTTATAAGGCACTCACCAAACACAATAACAAAGAATGCATTTAACATGCGCATTTCCAGGCGAAACTTCTAAATTGACGTTTCAGAAATCAGAGAGTAGAATTCAAGCACTGAACTGTCAATGATCTAAAGGTTCGACAGCAGTCCTGAATAGAAGAACGTAGACCTTATCAATGGAGAAGTACAAGAAACCTCCTATGGAATGTGTGACATACGAACCAAAGCTAGTTCCCACGATACAATGCCAAGCTGGACCATATGATGAGTCGAATTCCTGTAAAGCCAAAAACAAGTGAATTTTGATTAGCGTTCAATGCTTAACAAATTGGTGTCAACTATCTTACAACGCAAGAAAATTGAAACTTCATTGACAGATAGGAAGAAGCCTCAAACGAACAAATAGGACTGACCATCAATTAAGATTTAAAGATGATTTCAAAAACATGACTTAGACCTCAGGTGCCTTGAACGACCTAAATCATCCCGGTATCTCTCACAATCCCAATCTATAATGGTTTTAGTTCACATCAATAGGCGAAACTCCAGAAGAGAGGAAGTTTCTTATCGGACAATAGTGTAAAGAAAATGAACCTTGAACCGAATTCAACCCCAAAAACTAGCTCATAAAGAGACAACGACTAAGATCATATAAAGAGACAACGACTCATTCATCAACCAATGTGGGACATTCTAATAGCCCATACACACAAGGTTGGACATTTGGAGCATGAACAATATAAAATAAGAGTTCCAATATTGGGTAAACCAAGAATAAGGATGGGTCTGACACTGATACAAAGAATGAATTTTGGGCCTAACTTACCCCAAAGCTAACTCATGAGGTGCGTATTGTTCAATATCATTTAAAGAGAACAACTCATTCCTCAACCAATGTGGTACATTGTAACAAATACGACAATATTGAAGCCAATGTACTATTAAGTTGAATCATGGATAAAATTATTCCTAATGAACGAAGTTACTAAAAGCAAGCAAATAGCAGAATAAGAGAACCATTTTTCAGGGAATTACTGCATCGGTTATGAGATTATCATCTTCACTCTGAATTTATGAAATAATCATTTCATTGCCTCTCCTCCCTTCTGCTGGGAGGATTAAGTTCAGTGACAACATTTTAGTTACTGATGCTACACAATCGTATTTCAGTCCTGCAGGTCCATGAAAAACTTGAATTCTTTAGTTTGTGAAGCCGTTAAATCGGTAAGGTTTAAACCATTAAGAAGAAATCCTAAATAAGTCATTTTTGGACCTTTTTAAGTTGGACTTAGCTTAATTTATAAGATTTTACATAATTCATTCCATTTACATTATACAGATGTTACTTGAGAGTGTACAAGTCTGTTTTGACGTCTTAGTTCATTAGCCTTCAGGAGTTGCAAATATAATGAATTAATGACGAACAAGAATAGAAAGCATACAACCTGACAATTTCCATGCCATCATAAGCAAAAATTGTGAAGTTGTCTCATAGATGGATAACTTGTATTAAGAACAAGCACAGATCGCCAAAGAATAAAATAGGAATACTTCTCTTCACTGAGTATCATCAACCAGTTCTTGATTGAAGAAAAACCCTTCTAAAAGCTTGCTATGCCCAAATAGCCTAATCATACTTCCGCATACAACTATCTGTTAATGAAGACCTGGAGAGGGGTTTCAGAACTAGCCTTCTCATGATGTTGAGCTTATTATCTGTCATCATTGCTTATTTTGTACACCGTCCGTTTCAAGACGGAGTTTAATAAAGAAAGAAAGACATTTGAAACTTGTAGTCTTAAATATGCCATAACTTTGAGTGGCTGTAAAAGAAGAAGGATTCCAAAACCTTCACATGATGTTTTAGTTTATAATCTGCCATCAATTGCTTATTTTGTACACCCTCCATTTCAAGACGGAGTTTAATAAAAGAAAAGAAGAATTTGGAAACTTGTGGTCTTAAACATGCCATAACATGGCTTTAAGACTTTTGAAACTTATAGTCTTAAATATGTCATAACATTTGGGTGGCTATTAAAGCTTCTCACTAAGGTTAAAATGGAAGTTTAAAGTTATGTTTCAAAATATATAAATGTGTCATTCTTCTTGAAATGGACTAACAAGGAAATAATGTCACAAAAACTAGAATGGAGGGAGTACTTGGCTAAGTCGACAAACTTATGTTCCACTAAGACTGCTACCGCAAACTTGTTCAGGAGAGGTCATTACACATTAACTTCTCTGGCAAAAATCAAGATTGTTCGTTACAACAAGTTATTATCATTTATTAGTAGATTTGGAACATTTTCGGCTGGAATTGGTGTATATCATGAACTCCCACGTCCAACTGCTAGTGCTTCCTCAGGGTTTCCCAGAAGGAGAGCACTTCTTCAAATCCTTCTTTGATCACCCAAAACATAAAATATTGGATCCTGTAGAACACACGACGAAATATAAACTGGGAGGCTTTTACTATTATGTCTTTGGCATTGGATACTGCTATGTACCATCCCCAAAAAACATCCTTTGAAAATATTTGTTGAAAGTCTAAAATTCGGCCAATGCTAAGTTTTGCCAAAACTGCAACTTAAGCAAGTTTTTATCAATTTACTTTCTGTTTCTTTTTGCTATGATGCAAATTGTTTTTAGACTTATATCACACATTTATGGGATATCGGGACGATGAATTTTCAAAAAAAAATGAATCAGATGTGGAATATTATGTATCATGAAAGCAAGTACAAATTAAACATGTTTAAAGCAAAATTTTCCTAATTATTTGGTCATTTGTAGTGGTTTGAATTGATTAGCTCATGTGATGTTAACCTATTTTATGACAATGAAACTAAAAATCAACCTGTCAAGAATCATCTTTTCAGATCTTTTCATATGAAGTTGGTGAAAAATGTGTGGGTCAGATCACATTTGGGAGGGTTAAATACGCTGAATCAATGAAAAGGGCACGATCCAACAAATCTGAAACTTGCTTCGTTATGATGAGTAGGATCAAGGTGGATCAAGAAATGGGTCAATGTGCAACCTACAGCAGGTAATCCCTTGAAATCACAGTTTTCGTCCAAGCAAATAAGCTGAAAAGACGGATCGAACAGCAGGGATAATAGTTCCAATAGTGAAATGTTTTACCAGGAGCTCAAAATTTGGAACAAGTTTAGCTCGATACGTGGAAAAAGTTAGCAAAATCATTTCTAACTTTTTAAAAGAATCAGTCGAAAGAAGTCCTCAAGATGACAACAAAAACAGAGAGAATGTTTTTCTTCCTATAAATATCTGACTTTGAATAGATAGAGAATATCAGTTTCTCAAGAATATTGCTCTTTGTTTTCAAATTCCCAGATACTCTTGCCTTCCTTTATACCTAATAATGAAGTAAAATGCTAACGGTAAGCCGATAGTTGTGAAGAGTAAGCATATTTGTTCCAGCAATGGAGACATTCAACATGAAGTTAGCTAAATTCTTTGAATAAGTTAACATTAGCTTATATTTTATTTTTCAAAATTCAGTGGTAAAAAGTCCAAAAGTTAGCAATAAAAAGAAGGAAGCTGTAGTTTTCTTCTTATAAATATCGGACCTTGAATGACAAAAATTAGATGTATCAGTTTATCACGAACTTTGCTCTCTGTTCTCTATCAAATAACCCACAAGGAGGCACCCTCAAACAACTACTCCCTCTGTTTCAATTTATGTGACACTTTTCGCTTATCGAGAGTCAATTTGACTAATCTTTGAAGCTAAATTGGATTAGATTAACTCAATATTTTAAAGCTAAAATTAAATATCAAAAAACTATACGAAAAGTACCGTAATTGCTCGTCTTGTGTCAATATGATGAAACAATGCATTTTAAAATGTTGGTCAAAGTGCACATAGTTTGAATCTCGAAAAGTGAAAAGTGTAACATAAACTGAAACAGAGGGAGTATATGTTAGGCTACCTAATTAATTATACTAATCTATTATGCATGTATATGATATATCCTACTCCAAGTACAATTATCTGTAATGAAGCTTGTTAAACAGATGAACATAAGTAAGATTTGCAGATTGCCAAGCCATATACAACTACTTCCTCTATTAGATTATCTATAAGATCCTCATCTCTATCTTCTTTAGATGTAATCCATATCTTCTCCCCACTTTATCCATCTTCAGTGTTCCTCCCACCGTCACCCATCGGCTTCTGCTATTTTGTCCAGCATTGTTTTGTGTTTTCCCCCTCTCTCTTCTTTTTTTTTTTTGGAACAAATAACTCTCTGTTTACTTCATTAATCTTCATGTCTTAGCTTAAGCATATTTCTGATATACTGCTTAAATTCCACATGTAAACTTGCAAGCCTGTACTCTGTTCATACTCCTATTGCTCTCGCCTTTTTATTTCTCTTGTGGATAGTAAGTCACATTCAGAATCCAATGAATATCATAGCACCAACAATATTTGACTTCTCCTGATATTGCATATACTGTGAATCTTGTCTCTAGTTTACAATGCATGGTTCTCGTTGAACTTCTCTGCATGCGAGAAGTGCACTTCGACGTGCTTATATGGAAAAGGAACCATCACCTTTGGTCAT